CGCACATAATTGTAGTATTACAGTCTCTGGCTTGGTGGTTGGTAGAGGCAAGGCAGCGGTAGCAGATGTTATTATCTTTCAGCAGCTTTTTCCTGTCTTCAAGTAGCATCATTCGGAAACCCCTGCATCTTCTAAGTGAGTGTGGTTTGTGATGAATGGGACATTGTTTTTGAATGTCTTCACCTGTTTCTCTTGTCTTCGATCCTTCTGATGATATGTTTGTCTTGTGCACTGTGACTGATGGCTTTTGGCTGTAGTTACCAGTTAGTTTTCCTTTTCTGTAGCTGGAAGTGTTATTTGAATATGATAAAGTAGTTGTGTTGAATGTTGTAGTGAAGCTGGGGTCATTTCTTGCTTTGGCCTGGCCTTTCACAAAGTCAACGAAAACTGAGAAGGGTGGAAAGCTAACATTGTGGTCCTCTTTAAACTTTGATCCTACCATTGTCCATTTTTCTTGAAGATGAAATGGCAACTTCTCCACTATTGGGCCTACTCCTCTGCTAGTATCAAGGTAACTAAGCCCAGGTAAATAGCCATCTAGCTTTGCAGCTTGGAGTTCACACAATAGATCTGCCAGGTCACGTAGCTTGTGTGGTTCTTTGCTGGAGAGCTTTGGGAAGTTTTGTATTCTGACAAACAGAGAGTTTTCAATTGCTTCTGGTGAGCCGTAACACTCTTCCAGTCTCTGCCATATCATGTGCAAACCAGCAGGTGGATTTCCTTATGTTAACTGCTTTTAGTCTTTTAGCGTGTTCAGAAGACTCTGGGCCTAGCCATTTAATGAGTAGATTCATTTCTTCACTGGCTGTAAGACTGAGGTCCCTGATGGTATGCTCAAATGTGGCTTTCCAGCTGAGATAGTTTTCTGGCATGTCATCAAATTTAGATAGTCCTCCAGTTACTAGTTGACTTTTGGCTAAAAATCTGGCAAGATCACTTGTTGTGGTTTCAGCATTTTTATTTGGGCTTTGTTCCTGCTGTGGTTGTAATATGTTGTGGAGGGTTTTTGGAATTAGATCTGTTTTTGATGGTTGCCTGGCCCCATCCTGTGGCACTGACTGGTATTGCATTGGTTCTTGTTTGGGGACAAAAGGTGTATACACTATTGGCTGTTTACATCTTTCGTTCCGGTATGTCTCATAATCCCCTTGAAATGTCTCTTTATTGTCCCCAGCCAGGTCAGTGTAACTGTGTTTATTTATGTATTCACTCACCTTTTGTTCTGAAGTAGTTTGGAGAGGCAGAAATCTTAATTCTTCCTTTGAATCAGCTGTGTCAAACTGAGCTGCTGCTGACTCCATTACCTCAGCTTTAGCCGTGGCTGCGTCAGCTTCTTTTTGGAGATTGATTATGTCAAGAGTTGCTTCTAGACGGGCTTTTTCTACTTTGATCGTCATTTCCTGTTCAGCGTAGGCTAATCTGGCTTTCGCTGCTTGAGCTTCTGCTTGTGCTCGTGCTGCCGCCATGCTGGCTCGTGAGGATGCTGATGACCTACTGGAACGTGTTGCTTCTGATCTAACAGTAAATTTTCCTGAAGACTTTCCTGAGTGGGTTGACTTTGTTTCTTCATCATGTCGACCTTTAGCTTCTGATTTCTCCATGGTTGAGTAGTAAAGCGTCTGCTCGTAATCCCTTGCAGAGTGCTATGATTTCACTGTACTGTTGCACCCAATGTGACCCCGTGTCCTCTATTGAGATTCACAGCCAGCTAAACTCTTTCCTGCATCACTTCCTCCAAGGAACAGGCGTGTGTTGTATTTGAACAGGATTTAATGCAAAAAAGTGTGAAACTGAAACGATACAGAATACATAAAAATATTACTACACAAACAAAACATCAGAATGAACAAAATAAACGTTTTCTTTGTGTAAAACATGCATTTAAATGGTAACTTAAACTTAGCTGTAGCATAACATCCACTCTAATCTACCTCCAGCGTATTAAAGCAAACAACATATCAAATGTCTTAAATTTACAAAAATAATCAGATATATAGTATCTAGCAACCATAAACAATTATGTCTCTTACTCATATTGCCACTCAAAGGGATGGAAAGGAGCGGATGGATGCAGATGAAATCCAAACCATACTCATGCCTGACTCATGGCAGTAACTTCCTGTAACACACCTTCTACTCATCCACTGGCTCAACCTAGCGAACTGTGCAAACATGCGCCCCCTAAGGGCCTGGAGAAACAACAACATAAAAAAAAGAGCTCCAGCACATGAACTGTTGTCATACTGTACTCCTGATAAAATTCTCCATTCGGTACTTGGGACATTGGCTAAATTTGACCAGATACTTTATGTCAGGTCTAAGCACCTAAAACATCATACATATATATAAGGAAAGAAAGAAGGCACAGAGACAATTAATTTAGTTTTACTTGCGAAGAGAGTAGGAAGAGACTGCGGAGTTTAAAAATCTCCAACCCACTCTGCCGGTCTTCAGCTTTCTCCTCGCTATTTATTAAAGTAGGGGGGGGGTCCCTAGTTACACAAGCTGAGGTTGCACTAAAGGAATAGGAAACAAGAAATACAATTCAATTTGCAGCCTCAGTGAACAGGTCAATTTGCATTTAAATGTCTCGCGGTCAAATGGTCCGAGAACCTCCTGGTTTCGTTAAGCTTGAGCAATACTTCCTGATAGTTGACCTATACTGCTTGTGCAACACCTCTCTGGAACAGTGATATGTCACACATTATCAGAGGTGGAAAATATCTACTAAAATATCATACTCAAGTAAAAGTATCAATACTTGGATGAAATATTACTCAAGTACAAGTAAAATTACCAATCAGAAAAAATAGTCAATTAAAAGTATTAAGTAGCTAATTTAAAATGTATTTTAAGTAAAAGTTACTTAGTTACATTAAAAAAAAAACTGTTGAACGGGGCAGGGGATCTCTCCCATGTAGTGAAAATAGGACAAGGAGTCATAAATCCAAAACCGCGGGTTGCCGACCCCTGTGCTAGACAAAATTAGCAATGCCACGAAACAGGTTGTTTTGCTAATTGGCTATTAGTCATGAAAACTTTGTTTGAAGTACCAATGCACTAAATACTTACCAAAACATGCTTCCGCAGATCAGATGTGGAGTTATTGAATGCTGCCAGTTCACCTTTGGCAAACACATCTGGCATTGCATGATACTGTTGGCCCTCTTGAATTTAAATTGAAAAGCAGTCTTTCAAATGTGGCCCAGGATTTTCGTCGTTTTGGGCAGCAGAATTCGATGTTTCAGCGAGCATTTCTAGTGAAATGTTCTCTGAACCGTCGTCGCTCTCCTGATCCACCTCCATCTCGTTCCCAATTTCCTAAAGAAAGACTTGGCGCCTGGTAGCCTAGATCTACATGCTGATCACGTCACTCACTGTAGTGCTTCCGGGCCCGATTTTTTGTCTTCCTTTCGGTTTTCCAAAGTTTTTTTTTTACTCAGTAACGGATGGGATTTGTAATGTAACGAAATACAATACTTCACTCAAAACGTAATAGAGTAAAATTTAAATTACCGATTTTAAAAACTACTTGAAAAATACAAAATACACAAAAAACCTACTCAATACAGTAACTTGAGTAAATGTATTTCGTTACTTTCCACCTCTGCACATTATACATCATATGAACAAACAGTAAGCATCTTATACGTAATTATTCCAACACTTTACAAAAAAATAAAAATAAAAAAAGAAAGTTTTGAAAAATTCGGTATTCATTCAAGGACCAAGGACCCAGTCCAGGTAGACCGAGTCCTTGGAAGACGCAGCCCATAAATTCCAACGCAGCCACTATGTTGGCAGCTACTGCATATTTGCAACAATACAACTCAAATGGTTAATTAAATATCTGTGCTTCATTGCTTATACCTCCACTGAGCTACTCCTCTGATTTTGAGGACATTGCTGATGATTTTAGAGGCACTACACCACAGACAGGGTGGACACTTAGTAATCCCAAACATGTTGACTTCTGTCCTAACACTTTCTGAGCTGCTGTAAACATGCACAGATACAGGGGTTGATGTTGATTGGCCACCCAGGTGGTGGATCGCTTAAGCCTGTGCACCAGCTGAAAGTTTTCCTCCAGCTGTCTCTTTGTGTGATAGTGGAGTAAACAATGTAGTAACAAATATCTTTAACTTAATCAAACAAAACACCTAAGCAAAGTTTGAAGCTGCTGTTTGACCCGTCTGCTGACCAAAGCTCGGTGCCCCTGCCAATTTCCTGGGCTCAGACGTTCTCACAGAGCGGTGGCACTGTAGCACAGAGGCATGAGTTTCAGCACTGCTGAAATACTGTTTCTCTCTACTGATTTCCAGCATAGCAGCGACCCAACATCAGTTCTAAAGTAGACTGTCATTTACAGTTCTGTGAAAAAGTGTTGGTGCCCTTACAGATTCCTTATTGCTTTTTTGTCACGTTTAAGGTCTCAGAGGATCAAATTACTTTAACATTCGAAACAAAAAATCAACATATTAAAAGGGTGATTTTCATATTAATTATTTTCTTCTTTTATCTAATTCATTTTAATTAAACCACAATTTTGTTTTGTTTTTTATTAAGCTGAGATAAATACTACAGGCCAAACTGGCCCCTAATCATTACCTGACCTACAAATATTAAAGTCATAAATCGTAGAATGGCTGAAGCTCTCTTTAAGAAAACCCAACACACACAGGTGTTAAGATTAGACTATTACACAGAATAAACATAAACCTGTCCTTGGTGACAACTTTTCATCAAGGAGAGTTGCTTTCAGCTGTCCTAAAAGAGACTAGATGACTTCACCACCTAATTTAAATACCTATAGGAGAGAGGAATAACAATAAATTAGCCAGACACATTGTTACATGGTTCTGCCCTTTCTGGACTTCTTTGATTCTGTTTTTGTTTTCGTTTTGGGTTTTCAGCTTTGGGTTATATCCGTCTGTGTTTTCTAAGTCGTTGATTTAATTTCCATTTTGTGTCCTTCTAGCTATTTTCTTTTGTTTTTTAGTTCTTATGTATATCTTGGCTACTTATGTCATGTTCGGATTAATGTGTCTAACCCACATGCAGAACACTCGGAGGCAGATGAAAAAGTTCAAAGATTTATTAATAATAAATGTACAAAGTATGTTCAGATCCAAGAGGGGGCTTGACTGGTCATGAGTGGGTTCACTGCTGAGGAGGACAGAGGGATTAGTGGAGGTCCAGGTCCTTTTGCTGGTTGTGAGTGTTCAGGTCTGTACCTGTTCGGAAATGGAGCAGAGCTGCAGAGGGGGGGAACCTTGAGGGTCCAGAGGTTGTCGGCAGGCTGAGGGCAGAGGCGGAGGCAGAGCTTACTGAGTGCAGGCAGATCACTGATTGAGTTTTCCTTCCAGTAATCTTCTGAGAGCGGGCAGGCAGGTACTTGACTGAGGCTGCTCTCCAGAGTCCTACTGAGAACGATCAGACACATCACCGGCAGAGAAACTCTCCAGAGTTTGAGGTATTCAGGCAGGATCAACCTGGAAGGCAGAGAGGAGAAAAACGGGATCAGGTTTGGTTCACAGAAAGTCAGAGTTCACAGACAGGCAGGTTAGCTCAGGCTTGCTAACCATTACTGGTAAACACTCTGGCCCTGGAGTGAAGACCTCCGCCTCCTTAAGTACGGATCTCCTGATGAGCAGATGGGAGACAGGTGGGGCTGTAGGGAATTAATGTGCACCAATGATTAAAATATATACATGTCTTTCACATTGAATAAAGGTCTTGCTTTAAAAGTCTAAAAAAGTTTGGTATGCTGCAGAAAAGAGACAGAGGGTCTGGCATGCTGCTCAAAGTGCAACCTTAGATCAGAGCAAGTTGCTGCAGTAAGGGTTCTAAGTGCAACTTTAGATCAGAACAAGACAGTGAGTCTGGCAAGTCCCGCTAAAAGTGGCTTCTGCACTGAGGCTAAGTTAAGAGTGCACAGATGTCCAGCAAACAGACAGCCGAGCCCAAATAAGGCCTATGTATGTGACATATGCTTGAAGAATAGAAACACAGAAGGTTTAAGTACCAAGATTATGCCAACCATGTTTAATGTGAAATGCTATAATCATGAATCACTGAATGAAAACTTTGCTCTGCAATGATCACTGAATGAAAACTTTGCTCTGAAATAATAATGACTGGAATATGATGTGTTTTTGATTTAATGGCAACATATGTTATTATGACTTATAAGAGATATAATCATGACCTGTAATAAAGTGTTTTTTAATTAAATATATAAAAAATATGTTTTGGAAAGGACTTTCCTCCGGTAGGATAAAATTAATTAAACTTAACTGAAGAAAATGCATCTAAAATGATGAAAAGAAAGGAGGAGCTTGGGGGAGGATCCCCCAACAGCCTGAAATGTATAAAAGGGAAGCTGTTTAATTTTATGTTCAGTTGTTCTCCGGAGATCATCTCAGTGTGTATGCTCTGTGTTTTTCAATAAAACACTCTGGACCTGGAAGACCGCAACTTCTGCCTGTTTTCTTAGATTTCTGGTTGAAGACTTTTCTACCTTTTGAGAACTTTGAACTTTTATAAAACTTAGCTTCAATTTTTAAGTCGTTGGGAAGAGAACATCCACGACAATTGGCGAGCCAGCCAGGAGAAGAGCAAAAAAGGGGACGTCGGACGAGCTACAGGCACCAGCTGGAGGGCGTGGAACCCCAAAGGGCCCATACTTCACCATTAAAGGTGAGTCAATTCGTTATAATTTTCTAAATTAAGTGGGGAACCAACCTTCGGCGACTGCTTGTGGGGGTCAGACGTCACAAAGCTCTTCTAAAGAACCTAGTTTTCCAAATTTAATACAGTAATTTCCAAATTTGATAAGAATTTATGTGAGAACAAATAACGGCAGATAGAGCGGAGGAAAGGTCCAGGTATGTATGAGTATATGTGAATGCATGGTTTAAGTATTAATTGATGTTTATATTGATCTGTATTTGAACTGTTGAGTGTTGAAATAACTTTGTGAAAAAGTCAAGCTTAACAGATGTTGTTCTGAGTGGACAAGTGGTGAAGGGACAGAGTGGTCAAAGCGTTTTTGACAATAGTCGGTGGAAGCCACAGATCCGGAACATTATAGTACGTCTGTTACGTGAGGGTATTGGTGACCAATGTTGGGCAAGCTACTTGTCCAGTGTAGTGAGCTAAGCTATCAGCTACTCAACAATAAATTAAGCTTCACTACACAACAGCTACCACCTAAAGAATTATAGCAAGCTAAGTTACACTAATGTGTTAAAAGTAGCTTAACTACATCAGAAGCTACTTAACGTTGTACCAACCTAATGTCAATTCAAAATGAGTCTGACACACTAGTTAAAATATTTATTAAAGATCAGCCAATGACATATCACAGTGTAAACATTGCTTTATGATCAGCATATTAAAATAAAAACTAAACTAGTAAACAATCTGCTGTTATTAGAACCAAATTAAAGGTACTGTGTAGTGTTCTACACACCAAGACATGGCTATGAGTTTGCATTCAATGGACATCTCTAGGGAAAACAAAACCCTACAAAAGACCTCAATTAAACAGTTGATTCAAGTAACAAACAAAACTGTTTACAAAAGAAGGTGAAAAAATAAAGAAGCTATTTAAGAGATACATATATATATATATATGTCTCACCATTTAATTTAATTTCTACCTACATATTTATTCATTGTATTTTTGGAGGCAATTAATTGAATGCTTATTTATTTATTTATTGAGCATTTATTTATTTATGTATTTATTTTATATACGGTAGAGCTGTTCCTATATAAATAAAAACATCTTGTCTGTGCAAAGCCTAAAAACAGATTTACGTAAACATCCTGTCAGGTAAACTAGGCCATGAAAATACAATATCGAAGGTTCACTACTGCTCTCTAATTAGAGTATCTTAGTGGCACATAGATATGGGAGAATTATCCTGCCATAATGCAAGAGCACATCATTTCAATTTGAGAAAAGAATTTCATCTTCTTGCTCTCAAAACTTATAATGCTCACACTCAAAACATGCGCTCTCTCTCAAATATTTTCTCTTCTCTCTTTGTTTCTTCTCTCAGATTTAATCCTTCTTGCACAGATATTTTCTCCTCTCGCTTGCCTCCTTCTCTTCGCGCACAAACCGCGCTCTGTTACGCTCGCAAACCCGTAGGCTCTGCTTGCGGATTTGTTTTGCTCTCTCAGACTGCAGTTGGATCGTTGCCTAGCAACCTTTCCAGCCAATAGAACGACAGCCTCGGAAAGGGTGCGCTTGTTTAACTCTACTGAGTGTGCCTCTGCTACTACGCCACTTATAAGAGCGTCAGCTGAAACTGCTATTTACAGTAGCTTGTGGCTGATTGTTATTTCAAAATAGAAAACCTGGTTTCATTTCTAAGTTTTGCCCTGGATTTTGTAGCGTACTTGATCAAAACAATAACGTCGCTACAGGAAAGTTACTTGATAAATAAAGCAGCGACGCTACGGTCAAGCTATTGGAAAATGTAGTTAAACTAATAGCTTCGCTACATGTAGCGGCGCTACTGCCCATCACTGTTGGTGACTAGTGAGAGTTGGCATACTCCATGAAATAGCTTGTGTTGTGTATTAAGGTATTAAGAGTCTAAGCGATAGCCAGGCTAAGGGATAGCCAGAGTATTACCGATTAAGCAATAATCGGAGAATAGTACCGCTCGACCATCTGGAGGACGTCTATGCATTTCCAGTTATCTGGGTGCAGCCGGGGCAGCAGGGAAACAATTATATGCCACTGTGGGAAACAGTGAGGAAGAATAGAAGTGCACTGTAAAATATACAATCATTTGTTTTGTGTGTCTTTGTCTGTGTGAAGAGTGAAAGAGTTAAGTGACTAAGGGGAAGTAGGGGGTGGATGATATTAATAAATTATAACATTAATAAAGCTTAAATATATGATCATAATAAATAGAAATAATTATTGGAAAATATAGTTAAGAAGAATAACCTGAAAATTCATTAAGATTGGAAAATAGAATTGGCAACTGGAAAATACATGGTTAAAAGAATAAAAAGAAATTAACAAGGTCCCAACAAAAAAGTTATATAATAAATATTGGAATTATAAGTTATATCATATAAATTATAGAGTTACTATTAGGTACGAAAACACTATTATTTATAAAAAATAAAAAAAATTCTAAATTCAAATTGGAAAATTCTGAAAAGAAGAACAATTGGACAATAAGAAAATAATAAAAGACAAAACACAATCTGAATTGGAAAGAGCAGAGCAGGCTAAAGTAAAATTAAAATAAAATTATAAAGGTTGGTAAAAAAGCATATACCCTAAAGGTTGGGTGATCACTGATTGCCATGGGAGCCAATGGGAGCAAACAGTCTGCAGAATTGACGCCTGCCAAATTGGTTATAATGACACATCCTTCCAATAAACGCAAAATTCAAAAATGTATGACAGAATGGCACAAGATAACATCTGGAAAGAATCGCTGGCCTAAAGAGGGCAGCTTTGATCCTTCTTGCTGTGATGAAGTAGATGCCAAATTGCGGGAAAAGGATAAAAAGCGTGACCGATTGCATTTGCATAAAAAACAGAAGCATGCTGAACAGAGTGACATCTTGCGGTATTTTAAAATGGAACACCATAAGAATTCAACAGCCCCTGACTACATAGACCATAAGCCACCACCATATCACCCTAGTGCAGCAGGCAAGTACCCCGTAGTGATAGAGCCAGGCAGCAAGGGAAAGATTACAGGGCAACTTAAATTAGTGTTGGAAGAAGATGAGGAAGAAATAGAAAGAGAAATGAGCGACACACAGCAAGAAGAGCATGAAGACAGCAGTGAGAATGAGGAGATAAAAAGAACCCCAGAGTAAGGAAGATCATTGTCCGTACCCGATCCTCAGTACGGCGCAAACGCACACCACAGCGAAAAAGCCTCACAAGCCACTCAACACCCAGGACCAAGTTAGTCTTAGAAGAATCCGAACCACTAAAGAAACTAATAGACAAGGAGGTGATGGAACTAAGAGAGACACGATCACAACTCATCGAGAGAGAGTGGAAAGAAGCGCAAATGAGACAACAAAAAGAGTTAAAAGAGACAATAAAAAGACAAAAGGAGGAGAAGAAAAGGCAAGATGAAGAATCAGAAAAATTTAAAAGAATGGAAGAAGAGCAGCTTATAATAGCAGCCAAAAAGGATTGCCCAGACACACCATGTCCACAGACACAGTTCCTAATGGACAAAGCAAGTAAGGAGGAGGTGAGCACAATGGAGAGTGATGTAACAGATTGGGAAGACGTTGTGCCACAAGATGAAGGCCCAGATTTAATATCGCCAAAACATCCATTAAACAAGTGGTCCGAGGAAAGGAGCAGGCTGAAGGCAGGTGTAAAGGAGCCTCTCACAGCCGAGTGTGATGTGGATCTACAAATAGTACAAGGCAGCAAACACACCATGCAGACCAGGTCCAAAGCAAGAGAGCTAGAGCCAGAGCAAGA